GAAAATTTAGTATTAATCTTCTGGATTTCTGTCTGTAGATTTTCTATCATTTCTAATTTTTCATTTATTTTGTCATTTTGTTCTTGTATTGTCCTTCAAAATTGTTCTAGGGTCTTCTCTGTGTTTTCCTCAATTTTGTCTGTGTTTTCCTTGATCTGTCTCTCAGTTCATTGAAGGTACCTAAATCTAATCCTTTTGAATTCCTTATCAGAGAATTCCAATGCTGCATCTTCCTCAGGGATGTGTTTTGGATTTGTATCCTGGTCCCTTGTTTCTCCTGCTTTATCTTGCTTCTTTGTGTGGACTGGGATGCTCTGTTGTCTCCAAGGCATTGTGATGTTTTTGTGTTTATATTTAATTGGTGATTGTATGTTGGAATGACTTGCCCACGATTTTTGTTTTCTTTCTGTTATCTCTGTAAGCAGGGTACTGTGCTGTGCTCCTCTATTCACTAGTTGGCAACACTTATACACTCACCACCTGTCTTCTTTCCCATTGTTACCCTCCCATATGTCCCTGCTGTCCTTGGCCTATTCTTAGGTCCCTGGAATCTGGATGAAAATACTGTCACTTTAAAATCCAAAATGGCCACCACTTGTAAACATTCAAAATGGCTTCGCCCTCGGTCACTTTAAATATCAAAATGGCCGCCACTTGCAAACAATCAAAATGGCTGCGCCCTCCAGACTGTCGAAAGTCCACAGCTCAGGTTGTCTCCCTCCTTGCCATTTCCCTTCCTAGTCATAGGCCACCACCACAGTCATCCCTGCAGCACTTGGCGACCCAGGATGATCTTTAGGTCAATTCTCAGGTCCCAACACCACTCGGAAATATTCAGGCTGTTGGTCCTGTCAGCGTAGCTGGCAGTCTGCAGCTCCAACCATCTCCATACTCACTGTTTTCATTCAGGTTTTCCACTAGTTCGTGCCTAATCCACTTCTGTATACTTCCTTTCAAAGCTCAGGGCTCCAGGATTATCTTCTGTATCTCTGTCATTTGGTTCCTCTTTTCTTTGTTGAAGCAGGTCTGTGTAGCTTGTCGGTCTATTCCTTCATCTTACTGGAACTCTCTGTCTCTTGAGTGGTGCATGTAACCCATTGACATTCAGTGTAATTATCAAGAAGTATGAATTTGTTGCTGTCATTTTATTATGTGTTTTTTCATAGTGTTGCTGATTTCTTTGTTCTATATAATTTTCTGCACTGAACTTGTTTTATTTATGAATCATGTTATCACTTTCTTCATTGCTATTGTTTTAATATTTGCTAAATATTTGTGCTTGTCCTCTTCTTTATTTTGATGTGAAAGTTTATCATTTTTTTGGAGGTTACCCTGTGATTTATAATTTTCTTCCCAAGTTTAGAACAGCCTATTCTATCTTGCAATTGTCTTGACTTCCTCACCATTTAGAAGTTCTGTAATTACACAATTTTTTCCTCTCTTTTTGGTTTGTAGTTGTCCTCATTTGCCAATTGATGTCTCTGGTTTCCTGTTTACAATCTTGTAAGCTTATTTACTTTGGATACTTCCATAACTGGGTTGGTATCTGGGTTATGTCATCATGTGTGTTAATGGTTGGTTATTGTTGGCTGTTGTTGGTTCTCTGTCTGAAGGTCTCCCTTTAGCATCTCTTGTAAGGTTGGTCTGGTTTTAACAAATTCCTTTAATTTCTGCTTATCTGGAAATGTCCTAATTTCACCATCATATTTGAGGGACAGTTTTGCTGGGTATATAATTCTTGGTTGGAAATTTTTTTTCTTTCAGAGTTTTATATATATCATCCCATTGCCTTCTCACCTGCATGGTTTCTGCTGAGAAGTCAGAACTTAGTCTTAACTGTTGCCTTTTGTAGGTAACTTTTCATTTTTCCCATGCTGCTTTCAGTATTCTTTCTTTGTCTTTGGTTTTGGTGAGTTTGATGATGATATGTCTTGGTGATTTTCTTTTGGAGTTCTATCCTGTTTGGGGTTTCTAGGGCTTCTTGAATGGATATATTCTTGTCTTCCATCATATCAGGGAAATTCTTTTCCAATAAATCTTCAACAATTTTCTCTGTGGTTTTATATGTCTCTTCCTATTCTGGAATTCTGATGACACGTAGGTTATTCCTTTTGATGGTATCCCATATGAACCTTAGGCTTTCTTCATTGTGTTTTGATCTTTTTTCTGATTGATCCCTTTCCAAAGAAGTATTGGAGTATTTGTCTTCAATCTCACTAATTCTGTCTTCCATTGATTCATTTCTACTCCTTTGCCCATTCAATGTGTTATCTATTTCTGACAATTTAAAATTAATCTTCTGGATTTCTATCTGTAGATTTTGTATCGTTTCTGAATTTTTTCCATTTCTTTTGTCATTTTGTTCTTGTATTGTACTCTGAAATAGTTCTAGGGTTTTCTCTTTGTTTTCTTCAATTTTGTCTGTGTTGTCCTTGATCTGTCTCTCAATCCATTGATGATACCTAAATATAATTCTTTTGAATTCCTTATCAGGGAGTTCCAAAGCTGTATCTTCCTCAGGGATGTGTTCTAGGTCTGTATCCTGGTACCTTGTTTCTCCTGCTTTATCTTTCTTCTTTGTGTGACCTGTGCTAGTCTGTTGTCACTGAGACATTGTGACATTTTTGTGTTTATATTTAGTTGGTGATTGTATGTTGGAGTGATATACACAAGATTTTTGTTTCTTTGGATGTTATCTGAATAAGAAGAGTACTGTGCTCCTCTATTTGCTAGTTGGCACCATTTATGCACTCACCACCTGTTTCCTTTCCAATCATTAGCCTCCTGTATGTCTATGCTATCCTTGGCCAGTGGAACCTATTCTTAGTTCCCTGGAATCTGAATGAGAAATATCCAAAATGACCACTGCTTGTAAACATTCAAAATGGCGGTGCCCTCCAGACAGCCGAAAGTCCACAGTTCAGTCTGTCTCCTTCTTTGCTGTTTCCCTTTTCAGTCATCAGCCACCAGTGCAGTCATCTGTTGGTACCATTGGTGAGCAGGGCTGGTTTTTAGATTAATTCTCAGATCCTGATGCCACTTGGAAATATTCAGCTATTTGTGCCATCAGCACAGCTGACAGTCCACAGCTCCATTTGTCTCCTTATTCACTATTTTCATTCAGGTTCTTCTGCTAGTTGGTGTTGAATCCACTTCTGTATCCTTCCTTTCAAAACTCAGGGCTCCGGGATTATCTTCTGTATCTGTGTCAATTGGTTTCTCTTTTCTTTGTTGAAGAGGGTCTGTGTAGCTTGTCTGCCTATTCCACCATCTTACCAGAAGTCTCCCCACATAATTTCTTTTCAATCTCAGAATATTTAAAGAGTCTTTGATATTCAGCTATTCAACACTTAAAGCTGTTCCACCATCTTACTGGAAGTCATCATTAACAACTTCTAATATGCAGATGACACAACCTTGCTTGCTGAAAGTGAAGAAGACTTGACGCACTTACTGATGAAGATCAAAGACCACAGTCTTCAGTATGGATTATATCTCAACATAAAATAAAAATCCTCACAACTGGACCAATAAGTGATAACATGATAAATGGAGAAAAGATTGACATTGTCAGGGATTTCACTTTACTTAGACCCTCAGTCAACATCCATGGAAGCAGCAGTCAAGAAATTGGATGTTGTATTGCACTGGGAAAACCTGCTGCAAAAGACCTCTTTGAAGTGTTAAGGAGCAAAAATGTCACTTTGAAGACTAAGGTGCACCTGACCCAAGCCATGGTATTTTCAATTGCCTCATATGCATGCACAAGTTGGACAATGAATAAGGAAGACTGAAGAAAAAGTTGATACCTCTGAATTGTAGTGTTGGTGAAGAATACTGAAAATACCATGGATTGCCAGAAGAATGAACAGATCTGTCCTGGAAGAAGTGCAGCTTGAATGCTCTTTAGAAGCAAGAATGACCAGACTTCATCTCATCTACTTTGGTCATGTTGTCAGAAGGAACTATTCCCTGGAGAAGAATATCATTCTTGGGAAAGTAGAGCGTCAGTGAAAAAGGGGAAGACCCTCAACAAAATGCATTGACACAGTGGCTGCAATGATGGGCACAAGTATAGCACGGTGTGAGGATGGTACAGGACCAGTCAGTGTTTTGTTCTGTCATACATAGTGCCGCCATGAGTCAGAGCTGACGCAAGGGCACCTAATCATAATGACAACAACATATTAACATACATAATTATTTGGGACTTTATGGTTTCTTTCCAATGACCTAAGGTGTTAGTCATTCAATTGTGTACTCCAATGTATACATTAAACTGTGTTAGAATCCTAACTCCTATGCCTGTGGAAATAATCTTGTTTGGAAAGAGAGTTGTTCTTTGTTATGTTAATTAGATCACATCCTAGTAGGATGGGTTCTAAATCTAGTCACTTCTGAATTATAGAAAGAGCCGATTAGGCACAGAAGCATGTCCAGATTCCATGTAAGGATTGCCAAGGAACAAAGGAGCACCCTACAAGGAAGGAATCAACATGACTGAGACTCTGATTTGGAGTTTTAGCCTCCAGAACCCTGAGAAAATAAATTTCTGTTGTTTAAGGACACCCACTTGTGGTATTTCTGGTATAGCAGCATTAGGTGCTAAGACACATAGAAAATGTGAATATGAATTTATTTAAGCAGGAACTTAATTTTCTTTTCTCATTGCAGAATCAAAATTACAAGGGCTATGGATTATCAAAGGGAAAAGAGCGGTGAGTGGTCCCCACCCCACTCCCTGCAATTCAATAAACAGAATCTCCATCCTTCCTTCTTTCCTCCTTTCTTTTTTCTTCCTTCCCTCTCTTCCTCTGGGAGGTCTGATGGCATAGTGCCTAAGGCACCTGACTGCTAACCAGAAGGCTGGCGGTTCAAACCCACCAGCCACTCCCTGGAAGGAAGGTTGGGCAATCTACTTCCGTAGTGACATCGCCTCAGAAACCCAAGGAGGGGTCACTATGAGTTGGATCTGACTCAGTGGCAGTGGGTTTGGTTTGGTTCTCTTCCTCTATCCCTCTCTACTGTCTTACTTCAATAATAATAAAGTATGTATTAATAATAAACATATTAATAGAAACATAAAAGTATAATCATAATTTTAAAAATTATTAAGTATTTACCATGTGCCATGCCCTAGGCTAATCACTTTACGTTTATTATCTCATTGAATCCTCACAAAAAACACTTTGAGGTAGGTACTATTATTGTGTTCATTTTACAGATGAGGAAGAAGTTCAAAGAGCAACTTGCGTAACCAGTTGTTAAGTGGCAGTGCTAGGGGGACTCCAGGACACGCACTGCATCTAACTACGGTCTCATGCCTCTTTCAACATGTGGTGACTTGCATGCCAGTTGTGCCCTGATGCTCTGCTTCACTCTGTATCAATAACCTAATGGGATGCTCTAAACAGAATCCACGTGCACAAAAGCAGGAGTGAGCAATGTAGACTTTATTGAAGATTTTGTGGAAAGTCAGAGGAGGTAGTTTACATTGCACACCATAGCAAATATTTTTGTATGTTATATTTTCATTCATTTCAATGTATTTTAAAAAATTTCCCTTGAGACTGCCTCTTTCACCCATGGATTATTTAGAAATGTGTTGTTTAGTTTCCAAGAGTGGAGATTTTCTTCTTCTTTCTGTTACTGATTTCTAGTTTGACCTTATTATGAGTCCCAGCACATTCTCCATCAATTCTTTCAAATTTGTTAAGGTTTGTTTTGTGGGCCAGGATATGGTCTATTTTGGTACATGTTCCATGGGTACTTGAAAAAAATATGCAGTAATCTACTGTTCTGGGTTGTTTTATAAATGTCAATTAGATCCTGTTGTTTCCAAGTGTTGTTGAATTATTGTATGTCTTTGCTAATTTTCTGTCCCATTCTATCAGTTATTGAGAAAGGGGCATTACAATCTTCAACTATAATTTTGTATTTGCCTAATTCTCCTTTCAGTTCTATCAGTTTTTGCTTTACATATTTTGCAGCTCTTGTTTTTTGGTACATATACACTTAATATAGGAGCTCTGGTAGCATAGTGCCTAAGGCACTTGACTGCTAACCAGAAGGCTCAAACCCATCAGCCACTCCTGGGAAGGAAGGTTGGGCAATCTACTTCCATAGTGATACTGCCTTGGAAACCCAAGGAGGGGTCGCTATGAGTCGGGTCCGACTTGACGGCACATAACAACATACACTTAATATTGGTAGGTCTTCATGGGACTGACTTTTTTATCATTATGTTCTGTCCTTCTCTGTTTCTGGTAATTTTCTTTGCTCTGAGGTCTGCTTTAATGTGACACTGACACAGGCCCTCCTGCTTTCTTTGATTAATGTTTACATGATATGTATTTTTCCATCCTTTTACTTTTAACCTGTACCGTTATATTTGAAGTGAATCTCCTGTGGACACCATGTTTGCTTGTTACTCTTTAATCCGCTCTATAAATCTCTGACTTTTAGTTGCTGTATTTAGACCACTACATTTAGTGTAATTATGTTTACATTGATACTTAGTGTAATTGTTTCTATGTTAGGCGTTATATCTGTCACTTTATTTTTTGCTTTATGTTTGTTCTATTTTATTTGTTTGTTTGTTACTCCGTTTTCTTTTTCCTGCCTTCTTGTGAGTTACCTGAACATTTTTTTAGAATTCCATTTTGATTTATCTGTAGTGTTTTTGAGGGTATCTGTTTATATAGTTTTTGTAGTGGTTGCTGTGGGTATTATACTGTATATGATAACTTATCACGGTCTACTAATGTTGACATTTTACCAGTTCAAGTGAAGAGCAGAAACTTCACTTCCTGTTAATTCCTTTACCTCCCCTGTTCATAATTGTTTTAAATATTCCCTCCACATAGATTTAGAACCATATTAGATAGTGTTAAATTTTTTGCTTCAATTGTCAAAAGCATCATTTAAATAACTCAAGAGAAGGAAAGTTTATTTACCCACATTTTCACTCATTCCATTGTTATTTATTTCTTCTCGATGTTCTAAGATTCCTTCTTTTTCGTCATTTCCTTTCTATTTAGAGAACTTCCTGTAGCCATTGTTTTAGTCTAAGTCTGCTGGTGACACATTATCTTAGTTTCTTTTGTCTAAGAATGTCTTTATTCCTGAAGGATATTTTCACAGGACATAAAAATCAGTGTTTGACAGTTCTTTTCTTTTAGCTCTTAAACAATGTTGTGTCATTTCCTACTTGCTTCTGGGTTTCTGATGAGAAATTCACTTTCATTCTAATTGTTTGTCTACTCTAAGTTAGATGTCATTTTTTCTCTGGCTGCTTTCAAGATTTTCTTTGTCTTTAGTTTTTGGAGTTTGTTTGTGATATGTGCATGGATTTGTTTGGGTTTATCTGTGTAAGATTCTCTCAGCTTCTTGAATATGTAGATCTATGTCTCTTGCCAAATGCAAAGTTTTCAGCCATTATTCAATTTTTCAGTGCCTTTCCCTTCTAGATCTGTATTCACATGAATGTTAGATCTTGTTATAGGCCCACAGGTCCTAAAGCTATGTTCACTTCCCCCGCCCCTCCCCCTTTTTAAAAAATTATTTTAAATAATACCTTATTGTGTTTCAGATAAAATTTTACACAGCAAATAAGGTTATCTTTTAACAATTTTTATACAAATTGGTCTGTGCCTTTGGTTACAGTTTTCACAATGTGACAGCATTCTCATTATTTTTATTCTGTTTGTTCTGTTTCCATTGATCTGGCTTCCTTTTCCTTCCTTGCCTTCTCATCTTTGTTTCTGGGTAAATGTTGACCATATAAGGAGCTCTGGTGATGTAGTGGGTAAGGCCTTTGGCTTCTAACCAGAAGGTCAGTAGTTCAAACCCACCATCTACTCCATGGAAGGAAGATGAGGCAATCTACTTCCATAAATATTTATAGCCTTGGAAACCCAATGAGGGGCTCTATAAGTCAGAATCGACTCAATGGCAGTGGGTTTGGATTGACTGTTTGGCCTCATAATTGTTTAAGGGAGAACATTACTCATGGGTGACACTGTTTATTTTATAAGCCAGTTTATTTTTTAGCTGAAAGGTAACCTGCAGGAGTGGCTTCAGTTCCAACTTCAAAGAGTATCTTAGGGTAATAGTCTTGGGAGTTGCTCTAGTCTTTATTGTTCCAGTAGGTCTAGCCTTTTCATGGAATTTGAGTTTTGTCATACATTTTTCTCTTATTCTATCCAAAGCCTTCTATTGTCTCCCTGGTCAGAACAATCAGCTGTAGTAGCTGGCCACCATCTAGATCTTCTGGGTTCAGGCTGGAAGAGGCTGTGGTTGGTGTGGGTAATAGTCCTGTTGCCTAGCTTCTTCTTTGAGTGTTTGGTTTCCTTCCTTTTCTTTTTTTCTAGATGGGTAGAGACCAATAGTTGTATCTTGATGGCCACTTACAAGCTTTTCAAACTCCAGATGGGTGCTACTCATCCAACTAGGATGTAGAACATTTTCTTTATGAACTATGTTATGCCAATTGACTAAGTTGTCCCCTAAGAATATGATCTTAAGCCTTTTAACCCAGTAAACCAATCATGTGAGTTGTTTGGTTATGTCTAGGAAGCTTCTGTAACTGTGCCTCTATGTGATTTATTATATATATGGATATATATGCAGCACACACAAACATGTAAATACATATGCCTACAGATACATCTATACATGAATGTGCGTTTACTCATTATGCCTTCCTATACACATAAGTCCCTACATAATCTACCTATGTAACCACACACACACACGCATATTTTATTGTTATTGCTGTCATTTTTGTTTTTCCAGCATATGTTTTCTCTGTTGTTCAGACTGGGTAATTTCTACTATTCTAACTTTAAGTTTACGGATTCTTTCCTCTGTCTCCTTCACTCTACTATTGATCCAATTCATTGATTTTTATTTTTAATTGAGATTATATGTTTTTTAGTTCTAACATTTTCATTTAATTTTTTTATGTCTTTTTTAAAATTTTTTCTGAGACTTTTTATTTCATGAGGTTTTTTATTTTTTCATTTGTTTCAGATGTGCGCTTAATTACATTTTTATGATGACCTTTTTAAAATACTTGTCAGATTATTGTGACGCACCTATCATTTTGGTATTAGCATCTACTGATTGACTTTGTAAATTTACATTGAGATTTCCCTGGTTCTTGGGCTGATGAATGTTTTTTTATTCACATCTAGACATTTGGAGTACTTAATTGTGCTCAAGTGGAACCTGTACATGAACCAAGAGGCAGTCATTTGGACAGAACAAGGGGATACCATATGGTTTAAAATCAGGAAAGTTGTATATCAGGGTTGTGTCCTTTCACCATACTTGTTCAATCTGCATGCTGAGCAAATAATCTGAGAAGTTGGACTATATGAAGAATAATGTGGCATCAGAATTGGAGGAAGACTTGTTAACAATCTGTGATATGCAGATGATACAACCTTGCTTGCTGATCATGAAGAAGATTGAAGCACTTACTTCTGTATAGATTATATCTCAACATAAAGAAAACAAAAATTCTCACAGTTGGACTGTGGTAGTTAAGTGTGTGTGTCGACTTGGCTGGGCCTGGTTGAGTGTCTGGGCAGCTGAATGTAGTTATTCCCCATGGTGAGATAGGTAATTAACTCCATGGTGGAATCTACTGGAGCAGCTGAGTAGCGGCTTTGGGTATGTGGTCTGCTTCCTGTATATGAGAAACAGCTTTGGGAATGGTCTCTAGCCTTTTGGCATGCATGAACCCTGCATATAGCCAAGTCATTGTTCAACAGCCTGCCATGCCCTGCTGATCTTGGGACTTCATCTGGACTTGAATTAGTGGCCTGCCATGTTGTTTGGTAACATTGGCACTGTGCCTTTTTACTTGTCAATCTTGGGCTTGTCAGTTTCAGCAGCCAGCAGCTGTCTGAGTGAAGAAAAGTCTGCAGCTTCAGTGGGCCGGGAGCAGGAGGCAGAGCTGAACCCCTAGAGCCTGACACTTTGAACTTGGACTTAAAGCCTCTAAAACTGTTAGAGAATAAACTCCTGTTTGTTAAAGCCATCCATCCCATTTGTGGTATATTCTCATCAGAGCGGCACTAGATAACTAGACCATGGACCAAAAAGCAACACATCATGATAAGCAGAAAAAAGACTGAGGTTGTCAAGGATTTCATTTTCTTTGGATCCACAATCAACAACCACGGAAGCAGCAGTCAAGAAATCAAATGATGTATTGCATTGGGCAAATCTACTACAAAAGATCTCTTTAAAGTGGTAAAAAATAAATATGTCACTTTGAAGACAAGGGGCACCTGACCCAAATCATTGTCTTTTTAATAGCCTCATATGCATGAGAAATCTGGACAATGAATAAGGAAGACCAAAGAAGAATTGATGCATTTGAATGATGGTGTTTGCAGAGAATGTTATATATCCCATGGACTGCTAAAAGAACAAACAAATCTGTCTTGGAAGAAGTACAGCTGGAATGCTCCTTAGAAGCAAGGATGGGGAGAGTTCATTTTACATACTTTGGACATGTTATCAGGAGGGACCAGTCCCTGGAGAAGGATATCATGCGTGGTAAAGCAAAAGGTCAGTGAGACGACTGGTACACCATGCGATCCTCAGCCTATACGACTATGAGACCAGAAGAACTAGATGGTGCCCGGCTACCACTGTCAACCACTCAGAGGGAGATCTCTGTAGGAGATCCTGGATAGAGAGGGAGAACAATGTGGAACAAAACTCAAAATCATTTGGGAAAAAAAAACGGGGTACCAGGTTGTTGGTCTGATAAAGCCTGGTGCAACCACTGAGACTATGGTCCCTAACTGCCCTTCAGGTCTGGAATTGAACCCACACCTGTGGCTTCCTGCCAAACAAAAGACAGGCATAAGAGTTGAACATGTGCCTGAGGTAGATACACTTCTTGGAGACAAAAACCATGGGAGAAAGAAGGGCTACTTATGCACAGGGAGACAGCTCAGGGGGCAAGAGTGCATGGAGGGATGGACACAGTGAAGAGACAACTATCAGGAGGAAGTGGGAGTGGAGCTGTTGCATTGGGGTAAATTGTAGTCAATGTCATGAGACAATGTGTATCTGAATTGCTGTATGGAAAATGAATTTGCTCCATAAACTTTCACCCAAATCACATTTTTTTTTTTTAAAAAAAAAGGTGGCAAGAAAGAGAAAGACCCTCAGTGAGGTGGATGACAGTGGCCCTGCAATGGGCTCAAACAGCAGCGATTGTGAGGATAGCCCAGGGCCATCGTCTGTTGTGCATGGACAAGGGTGCTGTGAGTCGGAACTGACTCAAAGGTACCTAACAACAACAACAGCAGCATGTTAGGAGGTGCTGGGTCTTACTGAAACAATCTGTTTCAGCTCACTAACTCTGCAGAGGGAGCTCTGGTAGCATAGTGCCTAAGGCACTTGACTGCTAACCAGAAGGCTGGCGGTTCAAACTCACCAGCCACTCCTTGGAAGGAAGGTTGGGCAATCCTACTTCCGTAGTGATACTGCCTCGGAAACCCAAGGAGGGGTCGCTATGAGTCGGGACCGACTCGACGGCAAATAACAACAACAACAACAACAACTCTGCAGAAGGAGGGTAGCATAGAAGTCTAGGTCCCTCACTTGGCCTCTGTTGACACCTGAAGGGAGAGGGCCTTCTTACTGCTAGGTAGGAATTCTGGCACCTCGTTAGACCTCCACTGGTGCCACCCCCGCTGGAAGGGTAGGGGCTCCTTGTTGTTGCTCCCCACACGGCCTGCACTGATACCACACGGAAGTGCAGCCTTGGCACTGCTGGTTGGTGATAAAATCCTAACTCCACACTAGGCCTCTTCTGATATCACTTCAGCAGGGAAGGGGCATGGCATCTCACTAATGCTGAGTGAGAGTGAAAGTCCAGGCTCCCCAAGTGGTCTCCACTGACGTAGTGGAGGCTCATTACTGCCTAGTCTTCCCTGACGAGACCCCAGCAGGGGTGTTAGAGTGCATCCTTACAACCTCAGGGCAAGTCTAGCTTCCCTACTTGGCCTTTGCTGTCCTAAGCAGGCCTCAGGTTTTTTTTTTTTTTTTCCCCGTGTGTTTGGCTGGAGTAGAGTAGTTATTGTCTAAAAGTCACCTGTCTTGCTAGGTTGAATCTTTTTTGTCCTTTTCAGAGAGAGCAGGCTTTTGTTGCGGCTCTTTTTGTCTGCACCCATGGGGGTTTCCAGTTTCTTCAGCTGCATAGGTGGGGGATATGTGGCAAAAACAAAACCCAGGGAATTCACCACTATGTTGTTCCTTGACTCTTGAAGTCCCTAGCCAGTCTGCCTTCTTCTCTCCACCTTTAAGTGTCTTCTTATGTTTATCTTATATATAATGTTCAGTGGTTTTAGTTATATTTAGCTGGAGGAATAGGGAAAAATACATCTACTCCATCTTCCCAGGTGGATGCTGGGAGAAGGATTTGCAAGTACTTATCATTTAATATAAGGTGCATGGAAAGTAACCAGACCATATCTGGCATATAATAGGCATTGAATAAGTGATTGCTAGTATTTTTCAATGATTCAAAGATTCTGTAATTCTTAATTTGGTTACTTTAAGTGTTGCTATGCTCTGATGCTAAATTCTGGGATTCAGTAATTCTAAGCTTTGGCATTTCTAGGTGTGGAACTTGGCCTTTTTCCTTTCCCCTATTTTCCTACCCCTGGGCCTTCCTGGGAAAGGATTGATCCTGAGCAGTGTTCTGTTGGCCTGTCTTTCAGAGAGCAGAGAGCATCCATCCGGTTCAAGACCACCCTTCTGACCACTCTCACAGACGTCCTTCGCCACAGGCCAGGATGGGTGGAAGTGAAGGAGTAAGACATGCACCCCCAATCTCATTCCTCCTTCCCTTCGTCTTACAGATTCATATTTCTCATAGTTTTTCTCCCAGTTCCCCTATGTGATCACTAGGGCTTGTACTAAAATGCATTTGACAGGAGTCAACACTTATTCAACACTCACAATGTTTCTGGTGCATTACAGACGCCATTTTATTTCAGTCTTACAATTATCCAGCAATATATGACTATGTTCAGAAATGTTAAGCCACTTGCCTAAAATCACACAGTATGTAAGCATTAGAGTAGGATTCAAACCCAATTCAGTTTGACTGTTCCACAGCCAGCGTCCTATGGCTCTCAGTAGAAATAAGTAATGCTTATTCAGGACTCACTTATTTGAGTCTTTCAGTGAGGGCCGGGTCAAAGACTTCTCTACCCTGGCTACTTACTAGTTCCATGACTTTGAACAAATTACTTGACTTTGAAGCTTACATTATTTCTTCTGTTATGGTCTGAGAATACTGAGATGAACAAGCATATAGTGCCTGGCATGTAATAAGTGCTATAATACTAGTTAGGGTTAAGGTTCAGATTCAAGTAACTAAGACCCAAAGTAAAAGAGACTTCAACAGGTTAGAGGTGTCAACGTAAATTTTTTTACATTGAAGTTGAGATGTAGGAAATTCAGAGATGACATGGGTGCTCCACAGAGATATGGGACCCATTTGCTTCCATCTTTCCACTCAGCTATCCCATGGGTGACAAGGCATCTATATTCCAAGCAACAAAATGTAGGATGGAGGCAAGAAAAGGCATGTCCGCTATCCAGTTCTTCTGGTCTTGTGTGGCAAAGGAGGCACTTATTCAATGGAGGCAATTAATCGCACATTCCATTTCCTCCTCCTATTCCTGTCTCTCCTTCCTCTGTGCTCCAAGTGAATAGAGACCAATTGGGTGCCTTGGATGGGCACTTGCAAGCTTTAAAGCCCCTAGGTACTATGCAACACACTAGGAGGCAGACAGAAGCTCTGAACATGTTATTAGGCCAGTTAACTGGGATATCTAATGAAACCATGACCCTAAACCCCCATAGCAAGGAATCAGATTTCCTGAAGTGTTTGGTTGTACATAAGCAGCCTCAGTAGCTACTGTTTTGTCATTGTTGCAAATATACCTATCACGTTGGCCAATTCAGCTTTCACATGTGTACAACTTATTGACAGCATTTATAATAATTGTCTATGCAACCCTACCCTTAATCAAAGTGATTTTTCCATTACCCTAAACCAAAACTCAGTATTCCATGAACAATAACCTCTCTTTCCCCCCACCTACTACCCCTGGTAACCACTAATAAATTTTGGTGTCTATAAAAAGATAAAAAAAGGCATGCCCTTCCCTTGAAGGACAGAACTCAGAAGTCCCTCACATTTCATTGGCCAGAACTTAGCCATGTGATCACACCTAGCTGCAAGGGAATCTGGAAAATGTTATTCTGGAAATGTAGACAACTGCAGAAAAAGGGGAAAATGGATATGAGCAATGAGGGGCAGCCAGCTTCTCTGCCATGGTGCTCAATAAAAATTTGTTGCATAACAATAGCTAAGCATTAGCTAAACACATTATGAAGCCACTTAACGGGGATGTCCCATGAAACTATGTCCCTACACCTCCGTAGCAAGGAGTCAAATTTCATGAGATGTTTGGTTGTACATATGCAGCCTCAGTGGCTATTTTTTTGGCCATTGTAAATATATCTATCACATATTTGCCAACCTACTCTACTTTATATACTCTGTCTACTCACTCTGCATGCACAATCTCTTTTAATCACCCTGACAAACCTGACTAGGTGCTATTGTTTTCCCATTTTACTGATTAAAACATTGAGCTGTGGGCTAGGATTTGAATCAAGTCTGTCTGCAGAGGACAGGTTCATCTCCACCCTATTGTAGCTACTTCTCAGTGGATGAACAGCCAAATGAACAAGTGGATGAACATTTTCATCACCCCAGAATGAAAGCCCAGACCATAAGTAGTCACTCCCCATTCCTTCCCTCTCTCTTCTCACCCCTGGAAACCACTAATCTATTTTTCATCTGACTTAGTTATCTAATGCTGGTAAGTCAAATACCACAATTAGATGGCTTTAACAAACAGAAATTTATTCTCCCAGGTTAGGAGGCCAGAAGTCCAAATTCAGGGTACCAGCTCTAGGGAAGGCTCTCTCTCTGTCAGCTCTGGGGGAAAGTCTTTGCTTCCTTTTAACGTCTGTGGACCCGGCATACCTTGAAGATTTCCTTGTGTCTTGGCATTGATATTCCTCTGGGTCTAGGAAGTTCTCAGCACAGGGGCCTTGAGTCTAAAAGACACACTCTGCTCCCCACTTAATCTTTCCTGGTGGTAGTCACGTCCCTCCTTCTCTTCTCCTTTGTCTCTCCTTTATCTCTTATAAAATAAGAGGTGATACAGGGTACTCTCCAGGGAAACTTCCCTTAGACCAGACCAGGGTTGTGACCTGAGTAAGGGTGTTGCATCCCACTGAAATCCTCTTACAACTGATTGGCTGATCATATCAGATCACATCATAGGAGAGGATGACATCATTACAAAACTGCCAAACCACAAAGAATCATGAGCCAGCCAAGCTGACACATGTTTTTGGGAACATAATTCAATTCATGGCAATATCTCTATAGATTTGTCTATTCTGGATGTTTCATATAAATGGAATTAATATCTGGCCTTTGTAGTTTCTTTCACTTATAATAATGTTTTCAAAATTCATCCACATTGTAATATAATATTGGTATTTCATTCCTTTGTATGTTGTTGTTGTTGTTATGTGCCGTCGAGTTGGCCCCAACTCATAGCGACCCCTCCTTGGGTTTCCGAGGCAGTATCACTACGGAAGTAGGATTGCCCAACCTTCCTTCCGAGGAGTGGCTGGTGGGTTTGGACCGCCAGCCTTCTGGTTAGCAGTCAGGTGCTTTAGCCATTATGCTACCAGAGCTCCTTTGTATAGCTGAATAATATTTCCTTGTACGAACATACCACATTTTATTTATCTATTCATCAGTTGATGGACATTTAGATTATTTTCAATTTTTGACTGATATGAACAATGCTGCTATGAGCAGTCATGTACAAGTTTTATGGTTTTTTTTTTTACTTGATTTATCTTGAGTATATACTTAGGAATGGAATTGTTAAGTCATATGGTTAGTATATATTTAGCTTTTTGAGGTATTTCCAGACTGTTTTCCAAAGTGGCTGCAACATTTTACATTCTCCCTAGCAATGTATGTAGGAGAGTTCCAACCCCTTGTCTCCAACATTTGTTATTATCTGTCTTTTTCATTTGGCTGTTCTAGTAGTTTTTTGATTTGCGTTTCCCTAATGGTTAATAAAAGGAGCTCTGATGGTGTAGTGGATAAGGCATTTGGCTGCTAAGAAGAAGGCGGGTGGTTCAAACCCACCAGCTGCTCTGTGAGAGGAAGATGGGGCAATCTACTTCCATAAAGATTTACAGCCTTGGAAACCCAGTGGGGGTTACTATGAGTCTGAATCAACTCAATGGCAGTGTTTTGTTTTGTTTTTTTAATGGTTAATAAAGGAGCTCTGGTATTGTGTAGCGATTAAGGCATTTGGCTGCTAACCAAAATGTCAGAGGTTTGAACCCACAAGCTGATCCATGGAAGAAAGATGAGGCAATCTACTTCTGTAAAGATTTATAGCCTTGGAAACCCAATGGGGGTTACTATGAGCCAGAATCAACTCAATGGCAGTGAGTTTTTTTTTTTTTTGGTATTAATGGTGAATAATGTTGAGCATCTTTTCATGTGCTTGTTGGCCATTTGTATATCTTTTTCTGGAAAATGTCTATTCAGATCCTTTGCCCATTTTAAAATTGGATTGTCTTTGTATTATTGAGTTCAAGAGTTGTTTATACCTTTATCAGCTATGAAAACTCACTGCTGTGGAGTCAGATCCAACTCATAGCAACCCCTCCTTGGGTTTCCAAGGTGGTATCACTACAGAAGTAGATTGCCCAGTCTTCCTTGCAAGGAGTGCTGGTGGATTTGAACCACCAGGCTTCTGGTTAGTAGTCAAATGCCTTAGTCACTATGCCACCAGAACTCCTATCAGCTATATGACTTTCAAATATTTTCTCCCATTCAGTGGGTTGTCATTTCACTTTCTTAATAGTGTCTTTTGAAACACAAAATGTTGTATTTGGATGAAGTCCAATTTATGTGCTTTTTTCTTTTGTTGCTTGTACTTTTGGTGTCTTATATAAGAAACCATTGTCATCCAAGTTCAAGAAGATTTTCTCCTAAACTTTCTTCTATGAATTTAGTTTCAGTTTTTACATTAGGTCTTTGATCCATTTTGAGTTAAAATTTTTATATGGTGTGAGACATGAGTCTCACTTTAACATTACAAGTATACTTATTTTTAACTTTTTATTTTGAAATTATTTTAGACTCAACAAAAAAGTTGCAAAAATAGTACACAACTTCCTCTGTTGGCAGTTTATGTAATAATTCTAGTACATTTGTTAAAGCCAGGAAATTAGCAATGGTACATTGCTATTAACTAAACTACAGACCTTACTGAGTCTCACCGGTTTTTTCCACTAATGCCTTGTAAAAAGGGCATGGAGGTCCTCCTCTAACTTTACAAGGTGGGAGAAGGTTCACCATCAGCATCAACAGCTCAAAGCTGATACCTATGAAGCAGAGGTCAGACGTGCTGCTACCCTTCAACCCTTTTTTACCAATTTTGGCCCCAACCATCCCCTCCCAACAGCATTTTCTATCTCTCTATTGTTGTTGTTGTCATGTGTCGTCGAGTTGGACCCGACTCATAGCGACCCCTCCTTGGGTTTCCGAGGCAGTATCACTAAGGAAGTAGATTGCCCGACCTTCCTTCCGAGGAGTGGCTGGTGGGTTTGAACTGCCAGCCTTCTGGTTAGCAGTCAAGTGCCTTAGGCACTACGCTACCAGAGCTCTTCAAATTCTTGACAGCTC